GCACGCGCAGAGGGGCTCCCCCTACCCCTTCCGGATGGGGGTTTGGCAGCCCCCCGATGGTGTAAGGTGGTGGTGCCGTGGCGGCGGCCCCTCCCCCCACTTCCCCTCCAAAGAGATAAGACCCAGACGGAGCCCGACGCGGAGCGCCTCAGAAAAATTGACAACGTGGAAAATGTTCCCTCGCTGCCACTTAGCCCCCGAGCAACAGCGGCAGACGGGGTGGCGGTGGACCGCTCCTCTCCGCCAAACACCGAAGACGGCCGCCGGAGAGAGGGTCGGCGCCGAGATACCGACACAGAGAATAGCGCGCCGCACTCGGTGCTTTACTTTCAGATGTCGAAAAAAGGCGGGGAAGCCACACCACCGCCGCTTGGCACAACGCAACCCCCCGAAAAAAAAATCATCTTTTTGTGTCTGTCGACCGCGGGCGCGATATATTATGGGTGACAAAAGTTATTAGCGGCTGAGAGACGCGCGGTGAAGCAGAGCCGAGCGGGGCCGAACGGAGCCGAGCGGAGCCGAGCGGAGCCGAGCGGAGCCGAGCGGAGCCAGCGGGCGACAATAAAAAGGCTAAGCGGTTATTGTTCCGCAATCAGGGCACGTTCGGTCCGCGCGCAGTCATCAACCCGAGGGGGGGGGCATCGCTCGGGCTTAATCGGCCGTGACACGAGCACATGCAGGACCAGCTACAAGCACTCCACACCCTGACCACCCCTCCCGGCCCCGCGGCCTCGCGCCCCTTCAAACCCGTTAAGAGCGAAACGACGTTTTCTCATTTCGAAGACGCATGGTCGGGTCATTTACTTGCCACAACCGTTGGGGAGGCGGGGGAGCTGAAGCTCGGCCTGACTCGACTCACCGCCTTGAGGTTGCACTGCAGCGTGGCGCCGACCAGCGACGCCAACGACGCCACCACGACGCCGGCTTCGAGCTCCGAGGAGGTGGACGCCGCCGGCGAGGCCACGGCCACGTCCGGGATGGGCGTCGTCGCCTCGTCCGGCTCGGAGAACGCCGACGGCGAGGCGGTGTTGGTGTCGGGCGCCGGGCACTGCAGCCTCTCGGACGCCAGCTGAAAATGAGTCGGGTCGAAAATGAGGATCATCCCTGTGTTTTGCTGGTAGGCAGCCCCCGAGCTGCCAGAGTTTGTCCCGCTCATGGCGGCCTCGGCCCCCGAGCCACTGCGGAGCGTGACAGCCAAGTTGCGACCGGCAGCCCCGCGGCGCCGGAGCCCCCGACTCACTTGTGGGGGCTGCTGCTGCTGCTGCAGAGGTTGTTGATTAGTTTGGTTCGGCTGCGGCGACAGCTGGGGGGCGGTTAGCGAAAGAGTTTGGTCCACTTGTTGCAGTAGTTGCGGTTGCAGCTGCGGTAACGGCTGCGGCGACTGCTGCAGCAGCTGCGGCCCTGTTATTGCTGCCAGTTGTTGCGACTTGGGCGGTGTTTCTGATGACGGTGACTGCCGCCCGGAGCCGGCGGGTGAGATCGGACTCTGAAAAAAAAAGAAAGAAATAATCTCGGATAAAATGAGATACGTGCTTTAGATGACTATAGTAAGGACAGTCCTGGCAAGTCAACCAACCCTCGGCTCCAGGTCGCCGGCGTCGTGCGCGCCCTCGGGGGCCCCGTCGTGCTGCGCGCCCTCGGGCACGCCCAGCTGGTAGATGTTGAGCATGTGCGCCGCCTGCACGTGCACCATCAGGTCCCAGGCGGAGCTGAAGCTCGCGCGGCACGACGAGCACAGCAAGGTGGCCTCGTGATCTGCCGGGGACAACAACTCTGCGGTAATAAAATCAGGCAGAAGCGGGGAGTCAACACGCCAAAGCCGACGGCAAACTCGGGGCGAGGCACGGCTGAGCCCCGCTCAGTCACACAAACTCACTTGACTTCCCCTCCGGCAGAGTGTGACACTTGCAGGCGAACCGTAACTTGCAGTGCGCCTTCTTGTGGCTGAGGAGCTCCTGGAGGTCCGTGTACATCTCCCGACAGTTGCCGCATATTAAAATGTCCGGGTTGCCTGCGGAAGGGAGGAGAAGGTAGGGGGGTGCCGTGTTTAGTACACAACTCTGGAGACTATTTCCGTAACGTTATAGTGCGACTTGTTTTGACAGAATTTCGAACCGTTGTTAAAAATGTGGCGATTGGTTTAGTTTTAGCCGTCTTTACTCGCTCGGGAGTCTAGCAGAGTTACTCACTGAAGACGTTGATGGTGGCGGGGTGGTGGCCGTTGAGCGGCGGCGAGGCGGGCCCCGGGCCGGGCGCGTGCGGCTGGAGGTGCGCCACGGGCGGGCCGCCGTTGAGGAGGTGGCCGTTGAGCGGGTGGCCGTTGAGGGGCGGCGCGTGCTTCAGTCCGGGGGAGCCCGGCGGGCCCGGGGGCGGCACCGGCCGCGCCAGCGGCACCATGAGGCGCGCGCGCTTGTGCGGCGGGCCCGGGGGCGGCGCGAGGCGCTGCTGCGGCGGCGGCCCGGCCGACAGCCCCACGGACGCGTAGTAGCTGCGGGCAGACGGTCACCTGTCAGCGGCGCGCTGAGCAGTTATGGAAGGAGATCGATCTCCGGGGCGTGTGTGCGGGCAGCGCGTTATACGGCGCGCTGACAGCGAGATTAGCTGGCCGTTTGGCTGGGCCTGACGCAGCACATTTGTTCCCGAGGGGTGGAGGGGGTGCCAGAGGCGGCCAGCCAGGCGGCTAAAGGTAGCGGGCTCCGCAAACAGCGTGGCTTTCCGCCAGCTGACCCCTCGCCGCCAGAAGAGAACAGCCCCGGCGGAGAGTCGGGGCTGCGAACACCCAACCAGGCCCGGCCGCTGCGGCCCCCGAAGGCCCAGCCAACCCTTGCCAACTCGTTGACAAGCTGGTATGAACCGTCCGCGGTAAACCTCTGGGGAGTGATAGATCTAGACAGGGTTCCAGGGGCCAGCCCTTCCCCCTCCGCGCTCCGCCACGCACGACGGTGTGCGCTCATGGTTTTGACACTGACAGGTCCCCCAGGGTCTCAGGGTACCACGCGCTGGCTTGGCCTGGCGGGGCGGGTCGTGGTGGGCGGTGCTGAGCGCGGGGAAAGGGTTAGCGTGCGGTGTGGCGCAGCGTGGCGTCGGCCTGTCTCATCCGAGTATAATGGACGACTCTGGCGATGGGGCGATAGGCAACACTCGGACCCGGTGCCATAAATCTGCCTACCTCCCAGGCGGAGGGTCGTCATACCGGGCGGCTGGCCGACGAATAACCAAAACACGTCGGGATGGGGGGGGGGGGGGCTATGGGTACAACCGCACGCCTGGTCGCGCCGGGCATCCTAACGAGATCGGGGAGGGCCTCCAAACAAGCGCGAAAGGCCCTTCATGCCCCAATCCCTCCCACAACAGTCCCTGGCAGAGCGAAAGTATCATCGGCTCCAAATAATGAATCACCCTAACGACAGACACATTTTCTCTCTCTCTCTCTCTCTCTCTCTCTCTCTCTCTCTCTCTCTCTCTCTC